GCAACGTTATTAATTTTTAATTTAAGAAAGGAGAGCATCTAAGAATCTGAACAAAACTTGTGAAATAGATCACATTACCTTCTTCCTAGAATGAAGATAATTTCTCCAACCAAGAAATCTTTTGCTGTGTAATAAGATGTGGCTTTCCTCTCTAACACTTCCATTGCAACAGAAGGGAAGTCAACTGGGAATTAAAACATTAATTACAATTATGAGTAAATTCACACCACAGAAGAGCATAATGGTTAGGATTTGACATAAAATATCTTTACCTTAATGTCAAGCTCACAGCTCACCTTCATACAGTACTTGATACATTTTAGATCAAAATTTTATCTTAAGCAAAGTGATCAGGTAATATTCCCAAGATCATCTGTTGTATTGATAAATTGATGCAGGATGTAGATTGTTCTTTCTTAACTTTCGTTGTGTATCTTATAAATGAAATGTTTAAATATTGAGATATTTTCTTAAAAATGCAGTACTTGAGTCTACTAGTTCTTGTGTTCATCAGAAATCTGCTCCATGATACAACACAGCTACTGCATGTCTGCCAGTATATCGTTATTATTATTTTAATATGAGAGAAAGTATTTTGAGATTTTAATGCAAAAACAATTTGTAGGTATTCTGAAGCAAGAGAAAAGAAAACGATAACATGGGGGGGGAGGCAAAATGTGAGATCCCATCTGTTTATTTCCCGGTACACACCCCTTGTGCGTGAACAGTGCATATTTGATAACCTTGAAACTGAATATTTTATATATATATTTTTTTTATTGCTAGTGGGGTGGGACACAGTCCCTTGTGCTGCGGCCACATCCGGCCTATTGTACCAGCCCGATGATAGGTGAGGGTGATTGTGGAGCAATTGGTGGAATGAAGATTGGCAGGGGAAACCAAAGTACTCTGAGAAAACCTGCCCAGTGCCACTTTGTCCACCACAAATCCCACTTGACCAGACCCGGGATCGAACCCAGGCCGCCGCACACTTCCAAAGTTTTTATTAAACTGTACTTATTTTCAGAGACCACTAGTGTGTAGATAATGATGAAAGGATGATTTTGAGTCATCAAAGTAAGCCACAATCTCATCCATTCTCTCTTATCTTACCACTTATAGTCAATCTACCATTTTATGGAGATTTGTGGAGATTAGTAATAGCACTGTAATTACTTGTAGTTCCAAGAGGTGTGTACATGTAGTCAATAAATGCAATTCAATAGTCCGTACCCTGTCTATAGTCATACACCTAAATTGTGACAAAACAGCAGAACCTGATAAAGCTTTCCAGTCCTTGGGGAGTTTCATCTTCCTGAGTAGCAGAGGGAATGGATCACGCCCATTGTTCTTCCTGTAATAATCCTGTACTTCAACAGTGTCATCTGCCAAGTAGTAGTAGATGATGTGTGGCCTCAGTTCTCTGCCCTTTGAGTCAGGATCTTCATATACAGCAAAGAACCTGCAGCGGCAGTTGACTTCAGAACTTCTGCTTTATTATCAAGCAATAGCTACAGTAGCAGAAGACTAATCATAAATGAAATGTACTGCCATGTAGTGTAGTCAAAATCTAACATATTTGTAAATGGTTACTCCATGATAAAATGTTTGAAGTAACTGTTAGAGTGGGAACAAAGTTTGTGCAGATTAGAGCTTTATCAGAGAAAGGTGACATTATATGCCTGCACATGTCATCAATCAACTTCTGCAAATTTTTTTTTAATTCGGATAGTGGGGGGTGGAGTCCAGCTGGGTCCACTTGGTACGTTGGCCACTGATTGGCCTATTGTACCTGCCCCGAGTGGTTATGATGATGGAGAATTCGGTGGAATGAAGACTGGCATGGGAAACCGAAGTACTCGGAGAAAACCTGCCCCAGTGCCACTTTGTCCACCACAAATCCCACTTGACCAGACCCGGGCTGCTGCTCGAGCTATGGCGCAGCCTAACTTCTATTACTCATCAGAAAATGCTATGTTACTTATACCTGATCATATCCGTTATGAGTAAGATGTTTCCATAACAGAATATACACCAAAATGGTGGTTCCATGAAATCTATGTTTAGCCTCTGTTTTTATAGGAATAACTATATGAACTATTAGAACTAGGTACATCATATTCTGTATTGCGGTAGAATGTAATCATCCATATATAATATGTATGAAATAATGCTAACAAGTGAACTATTACAAACACATCTAAGATATGAAACCAAGCTTATGTTCACCCAATTATAGTTTGACAAAATATGTGCTTAAGTAATAAGATCTCACGAAAGGAAAATGAATAAAACAAGGATGACACCAATAATAATGGTAATAACATCTTCATCAGAGGTTGATCTCACAGTTTTGTATACAAGAGTGCAGCATGCTAGTCTGTGACCTGAATTGAAGTTCACTGTTAGGTTATAAATTTGCATTATTTAAATATGACATTAATAACACAAGATTTGCAGAACTAAAAATTGAAATATTAGGAAAGTAGGCTTTATGATTTCTACCTTAGCTATTTGTTTCTAATTTTACATACCACTTCCTTACTATATTCACTGTGCACAGTCTCTGAGAAGTAAATAATTTACTATTTCAGTGGATTAGAAACTTGATGACAAAAATTGTCACTCACAATAAGCAAAAAATATACTTTGTTATAGTTCTTTCATATATAAGTCCACAGGTGTTACTAATAAATCTTGTGAGATTCCAGGTGTGGGTAGATAACGAACACTGTTGAATGAGTAGCAGAACCTGATGCTTCAACACACCAGAGTCCCAAATTCATCAAAACATCTTTCCTTATAACTCATTTTTATGATACCCTGCCACTTCTCAGCCTTCCAAAAACGTTTTTGAAGAAAGTCTCCCCAACCCTAGCTATATGTCCATCCCATCTTAGCCTCCTATTTTTCACTCTCCTAAGATCACTAGGTGACCTGTTCAGAATTCAGAATTCCTCATTTTGTAGTACTCTAAATGATGCATTTCTTTCATTCTTCTTAGGGCCAAGTTAGGTTTTGAGCACTCTGTCTTCAAATATTTGTAATTTATGTTCTTCCCTCAAAGTAAGAGACCACATTTAGCACTCAAGTAAAATAGGTGCCAAAATTATTCCACTCTCTATAAAAGCTTCATAACACAAAACATTGCAGTGTATGATTGTAAACCCTTTTCCCAACCTCCACATTGAGGACTATCCTTTGTCTTCTGTTCATAATATGTTTGCAAGTACCTCCCATTTATGTGTGGAATGTAAGTTGACTGATTTGTGTGCTCCAATATACCTGAGTACCTTCCCATCATATTCTAAGAAGCGCTTGAATTTGTCATCAGCCACTTTGGTTTCATGGCTGTGAGGCTTGATCTTCAGCTGTGTGAGTGAAGTGTATGGATCAGGTGGTATTTCTTCAGGGTCATTCATCACAATGCCTTGACTGTGCAAGTATTCCTGAGAACCAAATATCATGATGTATATATCTGGAAGGCTCCTAGTTCAAATTTGGACTAGGATAATAGTTTTCTGAAGCTTTCTTTGGATTCCTCAATTTTTCAAACATGAATAATTTTGGGGTTTACCTTGGAAACTGAAGAAATTGCAAACCTGCTTTCTCATGCAAATAACTATTGCAACTGAATAAGCATTAAGAACCAGTACTCTTAAAATAAATTACTGTAAAAATTTTACAGTGTTCATGGTATTTAATAAATTCACTGTTATGTCCAGTACCTCAAAATACTATACAAACAGTTTATAAATGTAAAGAATAATCAGATTTATAAAATATAATGTTTAATGAGCTGCATTATGATGGTGTATGATGTAATAATAGTGATATTAATATATACTTGATTTAAATGATCTCAAATGAAGAATTGCCTACATTTTCTAGCCTTAGTCACATCCTTCACAAACTCAAGACTGCTCTAGAACATAACAAGATTTAATGATATTTTATTTCAACTTCTTCAATTATAAATGACAAAGTTTTATTTTGTTGATTACTGTATTAGGACACTTACATGCAATTTGTTAAAAGTAGACTGATTTGGTTTGCTGTTTTTTGTTTTCACTCTGAAAAGGAAGCAGTATACTTACTCTTGTGAAACTGTCACAATCAACAATGTGATAGACAACGCCATACACGGTGACATCAATTCCAATGTTAAAATCTTTCCAATGCCAGAAGTCTCCAGGTGTTGTCTTTGGAATTCTGTTTCTTCTCACAAGCCTTCTTTGCTGGAGTCCAGAGTTCTGAACGAATGGTGAATTACTGTTTTTAATTGATCAGTATCTCTTTCATAGAAAACACAAGAAAATGAATTTATACTACTCATTTCGTTCTATCAGAGGGACTTTCGTATAAAATCATGGAGATAATAATTAAAGGTAAACTGTACCTGTAACAGGCCATGGTAGCCCGTAGGTTGTGAGATATCGAGGCTCCCACATTTTCTAGACAATTGGGAGACAATAATTGTAGTTTAAAAATGACACAAGTGTTTAGCCAGTTAAGTACTATAGCCAAAAAGATCAGGAAAGTGCAGTATATTAAGGAGCTCAACAAAATGCCCCTAAACATGATGGTAATTCTTGCAAAAAGGGGTAGAGAAAATAGAACATATATTATAATAATAGGAGTCAGGATAGCTCAGTTGGTATAGCAATGGGATATGGGCTGGAGAGCCAGTGTTTGATTCCCAGAAAGGGCAAGAGATTTTTCTGTATTCTGCAGTGCCCAGACTGGCTAGTGGGCCCACCCAGCCTCCTATCCAAAGAGTACTGGGGGCTCTTTTCTCAGGGGTAAAGTGGCCAGGGTGTGAAGCTGACAACTCTCCACCATTTAATGCTGTGGTCAGGAATAGTGCAGTTATACCTCCACTCCCCATACATCTTCATGTTGTGGTACTTATTTAATTAAGCACATGGACAACTTTACCTTTTTATCACAATAACATAACATTTTTGTCTGACATAAGCAACCAACAAACTGACC